CGATCGCCTACCCCCGCCTGGCCTGGCTGGAAAACATAATCAGCTCACCCTTAATGGCACCAATCCGCCTCCTCAACAAACGCTTCGGCGTTGGCGGCAACTTCTTCAACAAATTCGACGGCCAAGTCGACCTCCTCGACGACCTGGACGACCACTACACAGCGCGCCAACATAAACGCGAGCGCCGCGAAATGATTCAGCGCCTCCAACATATATCCCGCAAGTTCTCCGTCCGCGTCACCATACTAGGCGGAGACGTTCATCTTGCTGCCCTGGGCCGCTTCTACTCCAACCGAAACTTCAACATCCCCATCGAACACGATTTCCGCTTCATGCCCAACATCATTAGCAGCGCCATAACCAACAAACCGCCCCCCAAGGCCGTCGCCAACCTGCTCGCGCGTCGCAACAAAATCCACCACATGGACCGCGACACGGACGAAACGCTCATGAAGCTTTTCAATCTTCCACCTGGCGGCAAGGAGAAGTGCGCCGCGTCGAATAAGGTAACGATGCCCTCGCGCAACTTCGCGTGTATCACGGAGGTGGCGCTTGTTGGCGCAGTGAATGGAACTGCGGACGTGGCCGAGACGGCGCCGCTGGCGACGCCGAAGGATGGCCATGCGCCGTTGCATGCTGGGGAGGAGGATGCCGGGACGACGCATCGTGCAGCTGATGGGGTTAGCAATGTTAGTGGCATGATTGGGGGGCTTGATGTTTCTATACGGGTTGAGATTGATGCGGCGGATCAGACGGGGAAGACGGAGGGGTATGGGTTTAGCGGTGGGTGCCTTATTTTTTCTTTTACGTATTATCTCGTTGACCCATGCGGTGCTCGGATTCTTCGTTTCACTGAATCGCTTTGGGGTTTATCTTATATGTGCTTGATGCTAATATAGTTTGTTGAAACAGTGCCACCATTATCTATCCCAGAGAGCAATCGAGCGAGTAATCAATCGTCTCGCTCACGTCGCTTCCATTTCCCCCGTCATCTCCACTCCTCTCATAGCGTTTCCTCTACGCCCCAAGTGACCATCAACGGCCCTGCTACTACTGCTGCCACTGCTCCTCTAGTGTCTACACTTTCTCATGTTTCTGACCCCCCTGGCCCCCATTCTACTACTACAAGTGAGGCTGCAAAGATAAGCAGGACATGTGATGAGAAAAGCAGGGAAGAGATTTGAATATATACCCAGGTAGGTAATGTGTATTAACAGTTGGTAAGGGTAAAAAAGGGGGGTATTTAATTGTTGGATTTTGGTTAGGAATTTTTCCCCGTTTTACTCTTTCTTTTCCTTTCCCCCTATCTGCATCGATCTATCTGTTATCCATCAATTTTGGATAGAAGCCACCTAACGTCAAAATGACTCGTTCTAATGCTTAACATCATATGATCCACCCTTTCTTTTTTATATAATTTTATTGATTTATCATTTATCGCATGTTATCAATATTACCCATTCGTTTTCCGTACACTTTGCCATGTCTCCAGTTTTTCTTCTCCCTACTTTGGTCCTAGTTCCACCCTCTCTTTCTCCCCATCTCATCAAGGATATCCAAACATTTTACGCATCATGCTTCTCTATGATTTTTTATTTTGTCATGCCATTTACATTCCCCCTCTCTTTTCCGTTCGTCTCTTTAAATGTGCACAAAAGCAAAATGTTCTCCCTATTTTTTTTTTCAGCTTAATCCGCTTCCTTTTCGTAAGTTTTGTACGACAACTCTATTTTTGGCTATTGTTATGCTTATCTCTCATGACCTCTTCTATGACTCTTTGGGGATTTATCTCCTGTTGTACAGTAGTAAATTACTGGGGTTTCCAAAATTGATTTCTTTTTGTTAATGGTGAAGGCGGGGGAGATGGAAAGGAGAACAGGTATCGGAAACAGATGATGGGGACAGAAGAGGGAAATGAAGGGGTGTCGTCGGCGCTGTACCTTTGGAAAAGTGATGAGCTGGACATATATTTTCATTTATGATTTTGGTTCATTGATGTTTTATTCTTCACCTTTATCTATCCTCTCAATTTATATATTGATCTTTGAATCTTCCTGAGTGTATGCCGTTCTGTTAATATGTTTTCGGGATATTAAATATGGCTGGTGACTACCCCAAGTTATATTGTATTTTATTCCATGAGAACGAGCAAGAGGTCCTTTGAATATGCCAAAAGGAACAATGCCCAGTCCTAATACAGTACATGGTTCGAAAACTGACCGTTAATAATCTATCAAGGATTCTATTCTTACATTAGAAGCAAAAACCCCTTCCGTCACAGATCTATCTACCACCCCCCAAAATCCATCCCCACCCCTTTTCCTCCTCCCTCCTCTTCTTCCTCTTCTGCTCCGCCCTCCTCTCCTTCCACAACCACCCAATCAAAGCCCCCGCCGCATATCCTCCCAAATGACTCCAATGATCCAGCATGGGAATCGCAAACCGAATCGGCAGCGGCGCCACCGAGGCAATCTCTGCAAGCACGATGACGATTAGGAATGTCGATCCCTTAGCGGAGAAAGCATCTTGCCATGATTGTGGGAGGAATGCGATGGTTAGTTTGTCGCTGTGGGTGTGTTAGTATGATACAAAATAAAATGAATGAATGAATACATGAATGAATCAAAAGGCACGGAATATGGTGGAGTTGAGCTGTGGAGGACGCATACTTTGAGTGGATTATGCACCAGGCGGCGACGAGGCCGGCGATGGCGCCAGAGGCTCCGAGGGAGGTTACACTTAGTTTGTTTTGGAGGACATGGACGGTTAGAGAAGTTAGGGAGGCGAAGACGCCGGAAGATAAGTAGAGGGAGAGGAAGTCGCCGCGGCCGAGTTCTTGGTGGACTGGTTGGTTTTGATGTTGTTAAGATTTGGGTTTTATTCTCATATATAATGCACGAATGAATGAAATTCGTGATATGCAGGGGTTCAGGGATCGGGAACACACTCACGTCTCGTCCCAACAAACCACAAAATCAACATGTTGGCAGCCAAATGTTGGAATTGCTGGTGGCTGAATACGCTGCCCACAACGCTTATCGAGTGAGGGTACAGCGGAACGCTAATGAAGTAGCGGTTCAGCATCCTCCAGGAGGGAGGGAAGCCTCTCCAGAGGGCGAAGATGAGGAAGTTGGCGCCGATTAAGCCTATCACAGTTGCTGCAGCTGGAGGGGTATCGCGCATCAGGCGCTCGTGGGGAGCTGGCGGTTTGTAGTTTTCGGCGAAAACGTAGCAGAGGCCAAACGTGATGAGGGCGATGACCAGTGAAGGAATGGTTCGGCTAGCCTGTTGGTTTCATTTTGTAGTTAGAAGATTTTGTGTTTGTGCTTGCGATTTCGGATTATATTTTCACCTTGGAGAGTTTCGAGACATCCCAATCATCCGCTGTAGCTCGAAGGTGATGCTTTTGTATCCAAGCTAGTGCTGGACGAGTAGTTGGGTCCGCACGAGGTTTAGCTAGAGTTGCCAAAAGAGAGTTAGAAATGAAAGTGTATCGCAAAACGCAATGCAGATACATATAACCCATGATTATATCATACCTTCCAGGACAACCGACTCTCCCAACTTCTGCAACTCCGTGCTCCTCTGCACACTTCGCTCTAACTTCTCTCGATCCTTCGCCTCGCCCTCCAACCACTCGCGAATCTCCCGTTCCTCCTCCAATTTATTCTTCCGTATATTTTCCTCCCTTTGCTCCAGGAGCACGCTCTTCCCGTAAACATCTCCCTCCTTCTCTATCGGCTTATCGAACTTCCCGCTCTGCGGCTTATACAGGCCAAGCTCCTGTCCACGGCGAATAAGCCTTCGCTCCTCCTCAATCTCTTCTCTTTCAATCCGCTTTAAAATCGCCGCATCCTCATCCATGGGGTATTTTTTCCGCAACCACTCCAAGCCCGCCGTAATCGAATCCTCCGACACAACCTTCATGATATCAGCGGGGAGATCGACATCAATAGTACCATTTACACGGCGCTCTTGTAAAAGGCGGAGCATCCTATTCCCTAACGGAACTGAGATACCTTGTCCATCTCCAAATATCTGCGAGATCTCTAAGGAAGAGAGATCACGGTGTCGAAATCGGACGCCATCATGTTTTTTGGGGGGAATAGGACGTCTGGCGGCCCTGGCGGCGGGGGAAGCGGAAGACGTGAATGATCGGAACGGCGAAGGAATATGACAGGAGAGGCATGATCCGGAGATCTCCGTACGTTCAATTGGATGCAACACAAGCTGGTTCTGTAAGATGGAGCTCCGTAAGCTACTCATAGACCGGATGGTACACCTCTGACCCTCGAGGCATATTGCTTTGAGCAGGGCGGCGGAAGCAGCACGGGGAGTTGGCGGCGAACGAATGCCCAAGCACGATATTCGCCATGCTACCGAGAAAACATTGCTCATCTCCCAAAACACGAGAGGGTTCTCATCTGGCTGTTCCAGGGGGCCTCAAAGTCGTGGGTTGAGTATGTAGAATATAATCATAAACTGGGCTTTTTTGGTGGAAGAAATGAAATTTGGTGGATCTGCCGAACGGTTAATTTTGTTAGAATTAGCCGCGATTGGCGCGCAATGAACTCTAAATAATTTGCCGTACGAACAACTACAGCAAAGCAACATTAACGTTACAATGAATATATTTCATAGAGCGACTTACATCTTGCAAAGCACTTCTGAGAACTGATTCTTTTAGTATAACACCCCACTTCTTTTAACTGTAGGCAAAAATTGTTCCCAATACTCAATACAGCGAACAACTGCCTTTCGTCATCCCACTTCATCCACTCCCAAGCTTCTCTTTCACATATCTCAACAACCAATCACTCTCCCACCCAGGCTGCTGGAGTACACAACTCAGTTACTCCCCTACTACTCATCAAACAATCGTCCAAGCATTTACTATCCTATCCATCCAACTAAACAACTCTACCGTCCGCCCTATCTCACCCTACCCTTAGCAAGGCCCATCTCTCATCCTCAAATATCGTACCAGATATCAAATAATCATGTCCTCCACATCCCTCCCCATAACGCCCCAAGCCTTCGCCGAAGCCCTAAAATCTCTTCCACTCTCCTCCCTCTACGCCAAGGGCTCCGAACTCCGCAACTCCATCGCCCACCTGCAGCGCTCAAACGATGAGTTGGCACGCTATATGGCTGAAGAGGCACCCGATGGCCGCGATAAGGATTGCGAAGACGCCATTCGGGAGAACGAGGAGGTCGTGGTGCACATGCGGGAGCGAATAGAGTTGTTGAAGGTTGAGGTGGAGGGAAGGGGGCAGATGTGGAGTGAGGAGTTGGAGATGGAGGTGGGGATTGCTAGTGGGGCGGATGTAGAGCCTGTGGGGATGGAGGCTGGGAACGAGGTGGATGGGCATAGTGAAGCGAGAATGACGGCAGAGGCTCCATCTACTGGTTCTCGGAGGAGTACCGCTGGGAATAGCACTGAGCAGAATAATGACGTGGAAGGACAGGGTGGGATATATCTATGAGCTCCCCTCTTACCCTTTGTGGTAGCTTTCTACTGGGAGGGGAACGATTATTTACGATGCTACACCAAAGATATGACGATTGCTACCCAAACTCCCTCTCGTGGGCCTAATTTCATGCGCCCATGCTCTCCTCCGTCATGAGCTGCTCTTGTTTCTGCAGCATCAACTCGGCTGCGAAGCTATGGTGCTTGGGACTTTTCATGGTGGAGATCGGTGTAACACGAAGATATGTCAATTTGGTCCATGGGCAAAATGCACGAGTTTCAGCTATTTAGGGTCGGGGTAGCGGAGTGAGAACGACTGTACGGGAGAGTATTTTCTGTGGGAAAGGGGGAAGGTTGAATGTGTTTCTAACTAAGGCTGGAGACGAAGAAGGCCTAAGAAAGCAGAAATTCCTTATTTCGTCTATGGAACTTGACGCGTGGTTGGTATCGTTTCGTTCCACTCAGTTAAAATGGTAGACTGTGTCCCATATCTATCAGTTACGGAAGCTTATCCTCACGACAACTGATGGGACTTGCAAATGCAGAGGACTGACTCCTGGAACCCAAAGCACGAGTTGAGATTACTGTAAATCATTAATCGCTATCATTCGACTACACCTCAAAAGGTTTGATTTAAATTGCTGGCTAGCTTAAAAAGTAGCTAAGGTATGTATCAAAAATCAAAATATTTATATGAAATGGAATAGCCATGATCCATTGAATATGGGACGCAAGGAGAAGAGAAAAGAGGGTGCACAATAGTCGAACGAAAAATAAGGAACCAAGAGAGAAAAATTGACATGCCTGCTTGTCGTTACAGAAGAACAGAACAAAATATGAAATATGTGAAAATCAAGGTCAAATGCATTGTTGCTTTCAAAAAACCACTAAGAGTATAAAACGAGACAAAAAGAAAACCGTCATTAGATAGTCCTTAAACCCCCTAGAAAGTTATAAGTGACAAAAAATGACACCATGTAATATAACGCCCAAGACATCATGATATAATTGTTCGCTGTTGAAGTCGTATTTAATCTTCTAATTGGAAGAGGGGTTCGTTGGAGACGTTAAAGTATTGGGATGCTGCGCCCAGTGGCCGGCCAGGGCTTCGGGAGGGATCTTCTCTTGTTTGATGAAGAGGTCAATCAATGGCTGCATGGGTTCCATTTCCTTGTTGGCAACAAGTTTGTAGTACTTTGCCACGGTCACGAAATGTACAAAGCACATGTTAAGGACTTCGTGCTTGTTGATGTGGAAGAAGGGATTCTCCCAGTGGCCATGGTACAGATGTGCGTAGCAGCGGAACATCTGTTTCATGATTCCCTGGCAATCTTTGTAGAAAGTTTGAGGGAAACCGCTGCTCTTTCCAATCCAATCTTGGTCACCTCCGTTTGGCAGGGTGGTGGCGTTAGCAGCACTCGCATTACTCGATACGACTAGTGTAGCTCCGCCGTTGTTCTCGGTGGGAAACATGACTGGATCATGGATTTTGCTCACGATCCACTTTTCAACCCTGTTGATGAACTTTGGTGCAGATATCCTGGCCGCTCTCCCATCGACCAGCCAGGTGTATGTGAGACTGTCAAAGAAACGGAGCCAATATTAGCACACGACAGTTGGAGCATTTTTTGGGATAGACGGGTTCAACTTACCGGCCTGCTGACATAGTAGGACATGTCGTTTCATTGCAAATTGGAAGGCCAGTTATTCCATTGATTTCCTGAATGACCTGTAGCATGCTATGAAGGAGGCGGTTTTGCTCGACAACTAGGAACACTTGACATCAGCAAGGAGTACTGCAATGGACAACAGGAAGAGCAATAATTTCAAAAGTACCCAACATGAGACATACTCTGATGAGCCAGCCATTCGCCAAGCTCGACATTCTTTGGGCAGGCACAAAGAGTCAAAAAGTTGCCTTTAACATTGAGCGGGGCATATTTCTCCTGAAAGAAGTACTTGACAGGTTCGTTGTCGATAGCGGTGTTGTCGACGCTGAAGGTGGAGGAGATGGAAGGAGAGTTCATAAGGCCCGACGTATTCGAGGGATGTGATGCTGGCAAAGTATTGTGTGCACCGTCATTCAATTTAGGAGGGGTGTTGTTATTGTTATTGTTATTTCTGTTGGATCCTCGACCAAATCCCTGGCGGCTATTGTTGTCACACGGCGAACCAAAGTCAGTATGGGATGTTTTAAATAGGTTTCAAATACTAGTAACCACGACACTCATAAGGTATTGTATAGGCTGCTGCGCTTAGGCTGCATGGGAGAAGGTGAAGAAAGGGAAAAGAAACCCCGACTGTGGGAAGAGACAGACCAACCGCAGCATCCCTGAGCTGACTGGCGGGTCAACGAGAAAGCGGGACAGCTGCTAACTTACACGCTTTGGAAGAAAGTAGCCATGATTTGAGAGCACCGCACCGGGGAATTTGGGTCTCAGCGCACAAGAATGGCTGCCAGAACATCCCAAGTCAGCAATTAGAGTGCCGACACTGCTAAGACAGATATTTACGCCCGGAACTGAGAGAGAAAGTTGGGATGGTTTATAAAGGTTGTTTCTTCGCTGCGGACGAAATCAAAAAAAATGGGGACTTTCTGTCCCTGTCACGTGCCAGGGGCCGTAAATTGATCGGAGAGGATTATCTATTCTTCCGGAATAAAGCTGGAGGCCTGCCAGATCGGGTTTGGCGTCTTGGCATCAATCGCAGTTTGCATAAAACGAACAAACCAAAGGAGAAAATAAAAAGAATGACGCAGTCTGTGAATTGGACGCTTGGAGTTTACGGGCTTTACTTCGCAAAACAACACGACTACGCGTTAAAAAGGGAGCTACTGCCATTGCTTCAGATTGTGGTACTCCTTGAAGTATTCGACAAAGTTTGGCGCGGTACATCTCGTTATCAACCATACGCATCTGTGGAAAAAAGAGCTACGCCTCTGGGCCAGCACGCCGCCATGCCCTCGGAAGACGATGTCCAGAGTCAAAGTTCGGGGGCAAATGAACGAGAATATGCCTCTGATGCCTCCGAGAATGGCGAAAATGGCGGTTTGAATTTCGACGATGAGCAGATTATGGGGGATGACGATGCTGACCTATTTGGGTCTGGCTCAGAGGAGGAGCCTAAGGAGTGCGTTTTCTTTTTTTCCCGCTCTTTATGATAGGAAGTTATGCCTAACGACATAACAGACACAGGCGACGGGGACTTGATGATGAGGAACTGGATTCGGGTGACGATGAGGGCCGTTATGACCGGCAGGGCTCTCCCATGGATGAGGATGGAATTTACTACCCAGAATCGTTAAATGTTATGGACCTCAGTCTTAGCCGTGTGCCAGAGCCGGAATCTACAGACGGAGAGGTATTATCACTTTTCAAGTCCTACATTTTGGCATCCCTCCTTAGACATTATACTAAACTAGCGCCTAACAGGTGTATACCTTGGCCATGCCAAATTTTCTGGCCATTGAGTCCGAAGACTTCAACCCGGAAACATATGTTGCTCCACCCTTCAACTCTGCGTCGACATCCCTATGTTGGCGCTATGATCCAAATGATGGAGAGACACTTCAATCTAATGCCCGCATCATCCGCTGGTCAGACGGTTCTTTGACACTCCAGCTGGCATCGAACCCAAAGGAGCAATATCGAATGCCATCCAAAAGGCTGGCTCGCCCTAACACCGCGCGCAAGACTGCTGATTATGACTCTGAGCTGGACTCACATGCCTATCTTGGAGCTGCGGCAGAAGCTTCATCAGTATTCCGTATTACCTCCCACCTTACTTCGTCTCTAAGTATCCTACCAACCACAGTCGAAACCGACGATGCTGTTAAACGGCTAAAGGAATCTCTGGAAGCTGCGTCGAGGGGTGCTAAACGGAATGCTGATGGCACTGTTACTGTGTTTGACGTTGCTGAAGACCCAGAACTGGCAAAGAAACGAGCAGAGCTTGCAGAGCGTGAGAAGTTGCGAGCAGATCGTAAGCGTCAAATGGCTGCAGACCGTGATCTCGATCGTGGAAGACGTGTGGGCATCTCCTATAGAACTGGAGGAGGTGGTCTTACCGTTGCTGGATTGGAAGGCGATGATGAAATGTTGACCACCAAAGCCCGTGGTGCGAAGAAACCTAAGCGGAGACCTAACCGTCGCGGGGAGATCTACTCTGATGAGGAAGACGAATATGATCGAAGAGGGCGAACCAGGGAAGATGAGTATGACAAAGACGATGGCTTCCTGGTCGGTAGCGATGAAGAGCCGGAAATTGTGGAAGATGACGAAGAGGAGGAAGAGGAATTAGAAGACGAAGATGCAGATGCTGAGGGCGAAATTGACGAAGAGCCACTGCAGAAGCCATCAAATCGAGAAACTACGCCAAAGAGGTCCCTGGAGGAAACGTTAGAGAAGAGTGCTGACCCTGAAACCGGCTCGCCTCATTCCAGAAAGAAAAATCGATATGTCGTTGACGACGATGAAGATGACGAGTAGTCAGGCTTCGCACCCGGAAATGAATGCCTCGTTCATCAGGTTCTCCGTGATTCTCTTACCACCTCGATCCCTTTGTCTTATCCCTATTTCTGGGAAATTCTAAAAACGGAGCCAAATGAAATTTAACCTCATCCCACCCCAGCTATGCAGAACTACAGCCACCTTTCTCTTGAACCCTTCTTTCCAAATGCCCTGTTCTGGGCGTGTCAACCTTCTGCAGTTCCACCACGAATCTCCTTGGGTGTTAACACCTGCCTCCCATGTACAATATTTCTGTTTTACCAGCGAATTTTCCTTACACATGTTTATTTCACGCTACCAGAGGAATAGCACTAGCCTCCAGCACAGCGTTTCAACAAAGAGGGAGCAAAACCCCCCAATGCCCAATCTTTCATGATAGAAATGAGATCCAAATCAAAATAGCAGAAAGTTTAAAAACAAAAAAGGCACAACTAATTGACATATATGTCATTAGACCATGCATTCATTCTATTTCCAGGGAGTTCTAACTTCTCCAGCTAATAAAATAAGCAGCTAGTTACAATATTATGCCAGGTTTCTCCCCCGGCACATCCTTCTCTTCTCCTATATGGATGGCAGTCATCAATTTTCTCGATCCATTCGATTCTGCTTCTCATGCCTACCCTAGCATGCAACATGACAACAAGGCAACAATACACGACGTGGTTCTATAACCTCCCATCCCTCCATCCCTGACCGGTCGATGGCTCCCCAAATACTGGCAAGCAAGGAATCCCTGTGACCCTAACTGACCACCTCGCATTCCTGCTATTTCCCCGTGTGGCATCACCTTATCGTATAACCCCCGAAACCGTATGCATGCATGCATGCATGCTTATATTATTTTTATTTTCCAAAAGGCTGACATGCCTGGCAGCCTTTGTTTGTTATACTGGAAACTCACATCCTCCCTCCATCCCTCAGGTCCCCGAGGTCGAACCATCATTTGTTCCGTAAGATGATCGTCGACAGGTAATCTTCACATCAACCCTCCGGCCCCATTTTGATCTTCATTCGCTTACTCGGGGTATATAGATAAGGAAACGTGGATTAACCTCCTACGCGTCCTTTTCCTGCTCTCTTGTTTTCATCCTTCCGTTTCCTTCCTTCCCCTTCTCCCTATCTTTTTATTGGTCGATCGTTACAATGTACCCCCCCTCCCCGGTGGTTCTCAAAACGCAAGGATATTTATCACAAAAAACAGAGCAGGGCGAAGCGAAGCGACACAAAACGCAGCGAAGCGAAGCAAAGCATTGACCAGGGTCATCACATTTGTGTTGATCAGCGGGAAAATGGGAGTTAAGAAAACGATTAGAATGGTGCTCCATAGTAACAGTGGGAGTTCCCAGGATGCTGAAAAGGAACCCCTCAAAATAAGCTTTAGCCGTTATCTGACCAGGGCCTCCCCCCCTTTTAATCCACTGTTTTTCGGCTTTAGGTTGGTGATGGGGGCCAAGGTTGCAGGCGTACGTTATTTTATAGTTTTTTTTAAGCAAAGGAATCCCTGCACGGCTCTTCCCTTTTACATACATAGCCTGGCCGAGTTTATTTCGTTGGAAGTTGAGTGTTATCCCGGAGCTCTGCATCCGAGATGCTTCTCTGAACGTTTTATTGCGTGAGATTATTTATAGAACCGGAACGGCGGCTTCAGTTTTGTCGAAGAAGTGAGATTGAGAATGAGGCGGGATAAATCATAATTCGAAGAAATTGAATACCTT